ATTAGCTGGGCATGGTGGCACGTGCCTGTAATCCCAGCTACTCAGGAGGCTGAGGCAGGAGAATTGCCTGAACCCAGGAGGCGAAGCTTGCGGTAAGCCGAGATCGCGCCATTGCACTCCAGCCTGGGTAAAAAGAGCGAAACTCCGTCTCAAAAAAATAAATAATAATAATAATAATAATATTGTCAGGCCAAGCATGGTGGCTCATGCCTGTAATCCCAGCACTTTGGGAGGCCGAGGTGGGCAGATCACCTGAGGTTGGGAGTTCAATACCAGCCTGACCAACGTAGAGTAACCCCATCTCCACTATAAATACAAAATTAGCCGGTTGTGGTGGCACATGCCTGTAATCCTAGCTACTTGGGAGGCTGAGGCAGGAGAATCACTTGAACCTGGGAGGCGGAGGTTGCTGTGAGCCGAGATCAGGCCATTGCACTCCAGCCTGGGCAATAAGAGCAACACTCCATCTCAAAAATAATAAGATTGTTGAGAGAGTTAAAGGATGCATGCAGTTTCTGATGTGGTCTCTGGCACATACTACATGCTCAGTATCCAGGCGTTCTTGGGGACCCCCTTTCTGGCTGGAACACAGGAATGGGAAGGTGATAGGAAACGTTGAGAACTAGATTAGAGGGGCCTTGCAGGCCTCATTCAGGGGAATGGGCTTGTGTGGCAACTTCAGCAGCTTGGAAGATGGATTGGAGGGTGGAAAACTGAGAGACCGCGGAGCTTGGTTCCCCTCTCTGTGTCCACAGAGCACATCCTGCCGTGCATTTGGAAACCAGGCTTCGGCAGCCCAGATACAGGTGTCCCCATCCCTTCCCCAACTGCCTCTACCACTGTCCCAGTGTCTCTCTAGAAGTGCCTGGCATGGAAGAAATGTTTGCCAAATGAATAATAAAAACATCAACTGCCACTTACTCCTCAGTAGCACTTACCAGGTTCTGTAACTCATTATCTCATTTTATTTTTACCACATATCATGAGGAAAGTATTCCCATTTTGCAAGCAGGAAACCTGAGATTCAGAAAGGCTAGTCAGGTTTCCCAAGGTCAGGCAGCTTGAAAGCCTGAGGGCAAAGCCTTTGTTGGTGCAGAAATGAATTAATGCACACCAGCAAGAAGGGGATCAAGTGGAAAGGTCTTCAGACCCTGAGCCTAGAATGAGCCACCTTCTCCCTGCAGCTGGTGGTAGGGGACCTTGGCCCTGGTGGGCAGCAGCCCCGCCTGAAGGTGCTCAAAGGACCACTGGTGATGACCGAAAGCCCGCTACCTGCTCTGCCAGCTGCGGCCGCCACCTTCTTCATGGAGCAACATGAGCCCCGGACCCCAGCTCTGGCACTTGCTTCAGGCCCTTGTGTCTATGTGTATAAGAATCTCAGACCCTACTTCAAGTTCAGCCTGCCCCAATTGCCTCCAAACCCTCTCGAACAAGACCTTTGGAACCAGGCCAAAGAGGTAAATAACATGGGAGTTGGGAACCAGAAGGCAAAGATGGCAGCCACTGGGTGAGG